TTTTTTTTTAACGAGGTGTCCCAGCTTGCGCCAGACTATATTCTCGTCCCTGAACCTCCGGCCCCTCAACTGCTCAGGGAGGTAAATCGCAGGTTGCGCCCTTGTTGGTTCCCAGGTTCCCACATGACTTTTACTCCTTTCCCAAAGGGAACCTCCTCCATGGTTATTACATCACCAAGCTGCTCCAACCCTTCCTCTGGTTATTACAACACTCAGCTGCTTCAACCAGGAATCGAACTTCCCACGCTTGGTTCCAGAGCCCCCCAATGTGATTGTTCCGCCAACTTGGATGTGCCCTGGGGGGCCTAGTTGATTTCAAGTCTTGATAGTAGCGTGGAATACCTATTGAAAAATTGAGATCAAACTAACAAAATTGGTTTGAACCAAGTTGCAACAACACTAAAATTGACTCGACCAATTTGATTTTCAGAACAATGTAAAATTTGATTTTCAAAACAATGTATCCTAAATAAATTAATGCTATATACCTTAAATGGAAAATTTAGTAAAATATATTCACATAGCATTAATCAATGTATTAAGCTATTTGTAGTTTTTACATTAAAAATATACATCTTCCTTGATAGTGTGTGAAGTGTCAGTATCGAGACTACCGATTATTTAAAGTGTGTTAAAATCAATGGCAAAAATGTGTACCATATCACATAAAGTCAACAGAACTGTCAAGAAAATTACTGTAGTAGAATTGTTATTCAATAACTACGTCCCGTTTCAAATTGTTTGAGGAAAAACTCGAGAAGAGGAAGCCACTGTCTGGGAATTGGAAGTACTTGAAGAAGTGATAATCAATCAATCAATTTATTAGCTAAACTGTGGGCTGATGGACCCATATTATCGGGTCAGGATTTGAGAGGATAAGGCCCTTTGGTTTGAACTGCAAACTACTAAGTAGCCCACTGTTTCGTCCCACGTCATCATTTCACTTTTCAAATAGACAACGTATAAGTTGCTTTTATACTTGTTTGATTAATTTTATAAAAGTATTTTTTTAATTAAAAGAGTTTTTAGAGAAAGTTGGTCTAACATGACTTTTTTAAAAAACAATTTTGAAATAAAAAATTCTTTTTAAAAATTAATTTTCATACAAAAATAAAGATAACTTTTTTCAAAAGCTCTTTTTACAAAAACAAAAAAGCAAAAATTATGTCAAACGAATCCTAAAATAGTTTCAAAACAAAATAATACTTTTATTAATTTGACACAATACATTTCCAATTACGATTTATTCATTTTTTGGTTACATCATTCTTTTAAATATTTTCTCATTTATTAAATTGAACATAAATATTTTCTCATTTATTAAATTGGACACAAATAACCAATTAATTATTTCTTTGATTTTGTTTATTTATTATGATTACTATTATTATTATTATTATTATTATTATTATTATTATTATTATTAATACCCTTCTGTGAACCATTAGTTTGAAGCGCGAAAACCCATGCCGCCTTCGAGGATGAAACCACTTGCAAAAAAGAAAAACGTTGGACCAAAATTTAAGGTACTAAAGAACAAGATATATGCTAGTTTTTAAACAGTGAGCAGGCCCACAGAAAGCTTTACGCACTTGTACAAATAGAGTCAGTCACACCTTGTGTTGCCAGTCCAGTTTGTCATCGCAAGAAATGGCTTTTATGATATCCAAAACCCAGCCATCTTTCTCTGAATCAGAAAAGGTGACTGAGGAGGCTGAAACCCTGGATTCAGTCACCACCCAGCTCTTTCTCAAATCATCCTCGTCTCGACGTTCAGCCCAAAGACTCGACAAAGACGTCGTCCTCAGGCGTTTACGGTTCCATAAGACATTGAAAAGGGTTAAGAACACTTTCCAGGCAATACGTGCACCACAGGATGGAGGTACAGTTTCAGATTATAACGAGAAATGGCTCGAACAAGGCGATAATTTCTCCTTCCCATGAGTCATCGGATTATGTCGGTTGCTGTCGTCTGTTAGGATGGCACTGGGAAGACGTTCAAGGCCCGATTCTATAGGCTATATCTCAGTGAAATGACTGCCTGGAAAATCCCAGTTGACGAGTCTTGAGGATTTATATGTATTTGTAAATTATAATCAATTCAAAGGAGACCACACAACTTATAGTTTTAGCCCATACTATGATTTAAATATGCTTACATCCTACAGGTACCACAGAAACTGAAAATGGAACACAAAATTCAAAAAAACAGGGAAACTTCCTCTTCAATGAATGTACAAGAAGAAAAATACGTCTAAATTTGATATGCATACTAGGAGTGGCCGCAGTATGGTTCAGTCTGATTTCGAAAAGAACCGAACTGAACCGAGTACCAGTGGGAATTTTAGAAATGGAACCATTGGTTCCGTATCTATTTATGGAACCAAATCAGAACCGAACCAATCGGTTCCAATTCGATCCGGTCCGATTCTTTACATTGAAATTATGTAAACAAAATGTTCACTAACCAAAAATTTGAAAGATTTTGCCGGCTATTTAAACGAGATCACTTAATTTGGTTCCAATTCGATCCGGTCCGATTCTTTAAATTGAAATTATGTAAACAAAGTGTTCACTAACCAAAAATTTGAAAGATTTTGCCTGCTATTTAAACGAGATCACTTAAGTGGTTTAAGACACATTTATTAACATTATCAAAAAGATAGTTCTACACATCATTAATAGAACTTTGACCATTAAACAAACTCGCTATTAATCAAGAATTCCAATTAACTCTACTTTGAAGTTGCAAATTCTCACTAAATTTGCTTTCAAATTGCAAATTTCCAAGTGAACAATGCAACTTGAAGTCTAAATTCAAAGCAATAAGTTAACAATTAAATGTCTAAATCTCATATTTCAATAAAATTAACATTCTACCATAACAAAATTAAACTTAAGAACTCTTCAATGTCTTCTCAAAGTATCTCCACCAATCCTTCTAAAGAGTGAGTCCACCCCCTTGCATTGATTCTACAGCACAAAAGTTAAAGTTCAAATGTTGAACAAAAAATTTACATGTATGAAATTACATATAAAATATAATTTTGACTATACTTACAATTAGATCATTAGTCAAGTTCCACAACTGTTGAGTTTGAATAATTCTTTTTGTGGGTACAATTCCCAACAAGCTCTACATTACATTGAAAATTAGAAAATCTCAATTAAAAGAAGCATAAACAAAAATAAATATACAATATAATAAGCTAGAAAAAAATATATTTTAATTACTAGTTTCCAATTGGACCAATTCTTCATGAAACTCTGTCTCTTCAATACTCACTCCATATAATCGGTCTCCCAGAAGTGTAGAACGTAGCCAGTTTTGTGTACAAATTAAAGCTTCGACTGTTTTAGGTGTTAAAGAACTCCTAAATGAATAAAAAACATGCCCTTCAGTACTAAACGCTGACTTTGAAGCAACTGTAGAAACTGGAATTGCAAGGACATCCCTTGCAATCTCGGACAAAATTGCATATCTTGGACAATTTAACTTCCACCAAGTCAAAATATCAAATCTGTGATTAGTAGAGTCTTCAATGGATTCCATTAGGTATCTCTGAATCTCATCTTTTCCTAGCAAATCATTATTGTTACTTTTTAAATTTTTGTACCCAAAATCAAAATTATTGGACTCATCCCAATCATCATCTGTAGAAACCTCCATTAAAATGTTAAAATCACAATTACCACCACATTCATCATTGGATGCACTATTCCATCCCTTATACTGATTATACAACTCATATAATAAACTCTTGATTTCATCTTTTGTTGTTTCAACCAAGTTATTATCATACAAGCGACCAATACAATAGCCGACAAACTCCAACATGTATCGAGGATCGAGCACAATAGCTATTATCAATATTTTGTTCATTTTCTCGACACTGCCCCAATACTTATCAAATTTACTCTTCATGTTTATTGCCATATCACTTAATAAAGGATCTTGCCTATCACTCAACGATTTCAACACTTGTTGAATATTACAAACTTCTTTAAAGTATAAATTCGAGGTGACACTCAAAGATGCACTAAACTTTAAAGTAATTTCATAAAAGGTTTTCAAAAACTTAACAAACTTCCGACCTTTTTCCCAATCATCGCTTGTAGGTGGACCTTCTCTTTCCTTTCCATTCTCACGCTTATCAAAATATTTGCAATAAAAACCATCTACATCTGCCATACGATCAAATGCTTTCTCAAACTTAAACACACTATCCAACATCAAGTATGTTGCATTCCACCTTGTAGGTACATCTAACATAGCCAATTTTATGCATTCAATTTTCTCCCTTTCTACACAAATCTTGAATTTTGCTAATCTCGAAGGTGATGATCGAAAATACTTCACCACATTTCCAATAGTTGCTATTGCCATGTGAAACTCTTTCAACCCATCATTTACAATTAAATTCATTATATGTGCACAACACCTTATATGCATAAGCCAACCACCTAAGACCATCCCATCAACCTTCCAATTCTTTAATACCTTTTTCCTATACATAATAGCCCCATCATTTGCACTTGCATTAAGAATCGTAATTGTGGACACACATTCTATTCCCCAATCAAGCAAACATGTTTCAATAAGTTTTCCAATTGTTTCCCCTCTATGGTTTGGTACCACC